GTGTAAAAGCCATGGTGGATAACCGATATGCCACAGCTCTGGTGATCGGCTCGGTTTTGAGCCTCCTGGCCACAGTCTACCTCTCTGTGGCTGTGGGAACTCAGCACTGGTTCCAGTACAGCAGCCCGCCACCCAAAGAGGGTATCAACCTGTCAGAGCTCGCATCTAAGTTTTTAAACAATGAGTTTGAGGAGAAGACCTACAACGAAACCATGTTCCTTCTGAACGGCACACTGGGACTGTGGTGGTGGTGTGTCCAGGTCCCYAGCCCGTCACCTTGGTACAAACCTCTAGGTATTACACTCTGTTCTTCTTCCTCATCCAGAGAACACCCACTCTGTTTTTGTTTGAGGTTATATAGGTAAATCACAAATATAGGATGCATATAACGTGAAACCATATGTGTTATTTTAAAAATGAAACACTACTAAAGACTGAAAGGGAAGCGATCTGGCTTTATAAAGTCTTTTTGTTTGTTTGTTTTGACAAAACAACACTGCAGATTTGCAAAGAGCCTGGCCCTACTTCACATGTTTTCTTTAATGCAATAATGAGATTTGATGCAAGCAGCTCATTTGGATCTGTGTTGCTTTTGTTTCGCTCTAGATGCCAAGATGGAGACCAGATGTGAGAGCTTCACCCTTTCTCAGCAATTCATCCCAAAGTTCAAACCTCCAGGAAATGACAAGAGTGATGAAGATCTGCTAAGAACATGTGAGTCTACCCCACTTAGACTGTTGTGTTGATGTGGGTGGTGTACCGGTTCAGTTTTTAATTGTTGTCATATGAATTTTCCAAACACCAGTTTAAATAGCCTGAACACCGTAGCATCATTAAATCACGCCAGCCTGGAAACTGTTTCATATACGGGGAAATGTCTTTGTGCAGCACTGCTGAATGTGCATGCAGGAACTAGCAGCACACAGGAAAAGCATCATCTCGGTTATTGTTTTTTGCAGACCTGTGGAGGTCCCAGTTTCTCCTACCTTTGGTGTCACTAGCACTGGTGTTTCTTAGTGGTCTTGTGGGGGTCTGTGCCTGCCTCTGCCGTAGCTTCACCCCAACTTTGGGTGTTGGAGTACTCCATTTTCTTGCAGGTAAGAGAAATGTATCCCTATATTCCATGTTAAAATCATCCACTACAGATAATAATGTGTCATTTTTGGTGCTATCTTGGCAAATTGCTTAAAAAACACATTACTTAAATGTAGAGATTATGCAAGGGTTTACAGAAATATTAACCTTTAACAGCCTGTAGGTGAAGAAGCCTTGACCTGTACCCTTCTACTGTTTGAATCATCCTCAGTCATGAGGTAATGAGAAACATTTGAATGTCTCCTGTCAGAGTTTGAAGGCTGTGGCATTGCTCTGATCCAATGGTAATTGCCAAGGGATGATTTGCAGAATTTGAAAAATAAATTAAAAACTAAATTATATATTTTAGCACATTATTTACATTTTACTGTTTTTAAAAGTACGGTAATTTTTTTCATTTACTTGTTGATGCATTTGTCTCCTGAATGATTATATTTTATTAGTTTTTTAAAATTATATTTTCCACTAGTCTTTTTTTTTTTATTTATAGACCACATGTTTTCACACCCAAGTTTGAGATTTATAAATCAAAACCGTTGCATGAAAAGTGGCATACACAAGTTTCCGGCCCCGTTTTGTGTGTGAGCAAGCTTTATAGGCAGGAGGAACTGAAGTTGGACGATAAACATATACCGACTGGATTCCTACGAACACAAAGAGACCTGGGACTGTTCCTCTCTCATCCTGCGTGCCTTCTTATATTTCTTCCTCTCTGCTCATCAGGTCTGTGCTCTCTGGGCACGGTGTGCTGTTTCCGGGCGGGTGTTGATTTGCTCCACTTCAGTTACTCGCCACCAGAAGGGGTCGAGGGTTCGATGGGCTGGTCTCTCTACCTCGCCCTCATCTCCTTCCCTCTGCAGATGATGGCAGCYGCCTTGTTCCTGTGGGCAGCCAAAAGCCACCGCAAAAACTACACCCCCATGCAYGCTTATAGGGTAGCATAAAAGAGAGCAATACGTTTTATACAACCAGCAGATCTCAAYGCTTCCTTAAGAGGGGTTTCTGGTTCAAGGAGGTTCTCAGTAGAATGCAGTATGCAGGTTGTTTGACTTTCTCTGTAATAGTTGTTTTTTTTTTTTAGAAAAACAGTTACAGGGTATCACAAACCAAAATGGGTAAATAAGTTAGTATGCAGCTAATCATCAGAGATTGGTTTGAGTGGCTTTATATCTCATTTTTGCCTTTTTCACCTCTATGATTTATCTAATACCAAGTGCATGTTTTAGTAGATGTTTTTATCTTTTGATGTTAAATTAGTTTCTGTGCTCTACTGGTGTTTTGCTCTCCAGCTTTTTTATTTACTGTTTGGTTGCCAATTCTTCTGAAGCTGCTCACCACATCGTCCTTAATAAWGTTCCTGTTTATAAAATTGCATTGTCTGGAGGTATCCAAGTCAAGGTAGCCGTTTCTGTTTGACAAAACTATCTAGCGCACCTGTCRTTTTGGTATTTTGTTCTCATGTTTGCATGATTTTAAATATCAAGTTTTGCATGCCTTTCAAGCTGACCTTTCCATCATCTGTGGTAATTGTGGGTTTCAGCCTGTGGTAAATAACCACTAAATGTCAGGAAATGTCACTCTCTAGAAAAGGAGCCACTCACCTTCTATTGTCACTCCGATAGAGCTAATTTGTGTTTTATGTAATTGAATTAAAATACATCCTGTGTTGGAGTAAAATATGTTTAACTTATTTCATAGATGACTAAGAAAACAACTGAGATTATTAAAAAAAAAAACTCCCATCAATCTAAATAAGTAMATTTTAAACCTAAACTTACAAGAAAAGTATGGTTTGAGTTGTTAAATCTCAAAGAAAAAGTCGGCTATTTTTTTGTACGAATTCTTTTACTCTGAGTTCATTTCTCCAATGGTTAGTACAAGTACAAGAATGTCTGATTTTGTGCCACAATGTTTGGTTACATGTTTGATAAAATCTTGTTTTGCCTTTGTGCACATTGTTTCTGTATCAATAAATTTAATATTCTCTGACTTGGTGTTTTATTTTGTTTAAGAATCAAAAAAATAAAGACAGTATTCTTTTTATGCCTCACTGGCTGGCAAGCAAAATACAATGATTGGACAAAGCACAGAATATAAAGAGAAACTAATWAAAGAGTAACTTACCCCAAAATTAACTTTTTTTAGCTGATAAACTGTCTAGAATGTGTCTAAAATATTATCTAGTACTGTTTCTGTGCTAATTTTGATGTTTTTGTGTGTATTTGTTGAAATCTGTAATATTTTGTTTAAAAACATCTTTTTGCTGCTCATATGGGTTGAGTAATTTGCATATTGGTTAAGGACATTAAGAAACACCTGGAGGAGACACAAGAGGAAACAGATGAGCATGGGTGGGGCTAGAGCAGGGCAGWGATRCACAKGGGAAMACTGAAACACTAGAAAACTAAAGTTAAAAACACAGATCATGACAATCACCTTTAAGGCCAGAGTATTAGACTAAAATATTTCACCCTGAGATAAAAAATAAATAAAAAAAATGCTTTAGTCGAACCTTAAAAATTGTATGTGCAATCCCAGGCAATGTTGTGATGGGTAAACCTCAGAGTTTAGGTTGTAAATAATTCTCAGCTACTAAAGCATAAAAGTTTAGCTCAATATCTGAAAAACTGAGTTCTACATCATGCAGTTTGTGAGATATTTTGCTAACACAGGTGAGGACAAAAACATCATCTCACTCCCTTTGCCGTTTGGCTGCGGTGACAAAAAGGAAAAGAGAAGAAAATTAAAATACGAGAAACAAAGAAGCAGTTTGAAGAYAATGGTAAAACCATCACTGGAATGAAAATATTAAAAATTACTTTCAGAAATGGAAACACTTTTATTTCTGTGAAAATAAACCACAACAATAATTATTTCAGTGAGTATGAAGAAAGTTCTGTAATGACATATGTTGCAGCTGAGAGGTAAGAGCCTTTAAGTGAATTTTCATCAACATAATGCATATTACAAATGAAATGAATAAACTACCACTCCTCCGCCTCCTCCTCCTCCTCCTCCTACTACTACTACTACTACTACTACTACTACTACTACTACTACTACTACTACTACTACTACTGCTACATAATGTGTAACATTTGTTATATGAACAGTTGTGCAGCATTCTTCTTCCTCCTATCAGCTCTTTGAAAAAAAAGGTCAGTCTCTAGCACAGAAACATCATTCTTTATTAGTACAGTCTTTTTTTTCTTCTTCTTTTCAATCATGGGCTCTGATGCTACTGCACCGACAGACAGCTGTGGAAAATAAACCCCTCCAGAAGATGTTCAACATCTTTCTGTATATTTAAATTTCATGTGTGTGTGGAATGTCATTGAGTAGTCTAGTTTTTCAGTCCAAAAACATACATCTGAGGTTATTGGAGATTCTAAATTGATTTTAAACTGGAATGCATGCCTCCCTTCTTACATACTGATTGTTGTGGAGATCCACACCAGCTCCATGTGACTCTGAACAGGAAGACAAATGGATGGCTCTAAATTACTGGACTTTTGAGTTGCGTTGAATGTCCAAAGGGGGAAGATAAATTGAGTTTACGAGACTTTAAAGTGTTCATGAGCTGCTGACTAACCTCCATACAGATAACTTTTCAGTTAAGCTGTGGACTGATTTTCAGACAGTCAGTATTCTGGATAATTGCAGAGATATCTGCATTTTAAAATACCAAAGAACAGGCTTGCTAAAGATATTTTTGACAAATTTAACTGCCATTTTTAGCAAAATTAACTAACTGCAAAGAGTCCTGAGAGTTGTTTGGTTACTTAGCTAGAACTCAAAAAGTTTTTTTCCAGAACTTTCACCAATTTGTTATCTTTACCCACTCCTTCACTTCACTTCACCTGTGGGAGGAAACTGGAGTGCCCAGAGAAAACCCATGCATGTATGGTGAGAACCTTCAAACTAAGGATGCACTGATGCAAATTTTTTTCAAACTGAGTACGAGTACAAGTACCTCAGATTTGGTACTCGCCGATACCGAGTACTGATACAAGTAGCTACTACTGAGTTACAMCTTATTTGGTTATTATAATATTAAGGGATGTTTGTAAAACCTAAAATTCAAACAAATTTGAAGAACAGTCAAAGGAATAAGCTTGTGGAATAATCTGGATAGTGATTATAAAAATGCTGGCTCAATTAATTTGTTTAAAAGAATGATAAAAGTTAATTTGCTAATGAAATATGAAGTTGTAAAATTTGTATTTATAAGAGCTGCTGTTTGAGGAGTTGAAGTTTTTGTTTTGTTTTATTATCACATATCAGTATATATCAGATATTATGAGATTTTTTTCTTCTTTCTGCTGCTTTCATTTTATTTGATTTGGATTATTTTGTTGTATGTGAATTTGTTTTGGTTTTAAATGAAGTGAATAAAAAATCTGGCACTAAATTAGAAACATATCTAATGTTTGTCAAAATGAACCTCAATTTAAACCAGTGGTTTATCCTGGTCCTCGAGGACCATTATCCTGCATGATTTAGTTGTTTCTCTGCTCCTCAGCAGGTCTTTAGATCTGCAGAAGCCTGTCAATCAAATCAGGTGTACCAAAGCAAGAAAACATCCAAAACATGTAGGATTGTGGTCCTCAAGGACCAGGATTGAGAACCACTTGTATAAACAGTCATACCTCATTTCTCAGACAGTCTGTGAGGTGGGGCTTTACAGATTGATCCAAGTAATAATGGTACTAACCTCAAGTCATGCAATTTAAATCTTTTAGCACCACGCATCTTCAGCTACAGAACAGCCATCCGTGTCCTGGATGACTGAGAGTCCACAGAAATATCTGATAGCAACAGTGTCGGACTGTGTCGAAACTAAAGTTCTGGAWCAATACTTTTTAGATCACTTCCAGCTCCTTGTCTAACACCACACGTCCTCAGCTACAGAACAGAAATCYTTTTCTTTGAATTTTCCATCCCCTTGATGACAGCAAAATCACAGAAACATCTGACAGTAGTAGTGTCGGACCGTGTCAAAACTAAAGCAGATCGATACTTGTGTTAGCTTTATTTGCAGYGCATCACGTTGCTCACAAGCTTCACCAGAGCATCTGACCACAAGGAGGTTAAAACATAAACAGTGAACCGAACAAGCATGTCAGATAATTATTTTACCCATTCAGATTGAATAACAACTTCACAATCAACAAGCTAAGAAGTAGCATTCACTGTAGCAACCTGTTGTTTAATCCTGTAAACGGCGCATGCGAGTCACAATAATGACAGTCTGGAAGTTGTATTTAAAATRTGAACATCCACTCCAAAAATGGTATTGGTTCAGTGTATTGGGGCATTTTGAATGAGCACGAGTAGCTACTTGTAAAATGTTGGTATCGGACCCGATATTGGTCGGTAATGATGCATTCCTACTTCTAACAAAACCAATCCGGCAACCGAGGTGCAACAGTTCTACCAACTGAGCCATCGTGCTGCCCCAGGATTTTCGTAATTTAAAAAAAATTCTCACTTTAACAATATATTTTTATTAGCTTTTCTTCATGATGACATTGAATCTAATAGGACAGATCAACAGTGAGAACAGACAACATAGTTCCTGGTTACATTTTTTTAGAGTGCACGTTTTGCACAGCTCTACACAAACAGGAGAATGAGCAAATTGAGAAACTGTCCAGTACTTTCAGGACCTTGGACAGTTCCTTCAGCCCTTCACGCTGTCCAAAGTCCTAAAACATTAAAGCACTTACAGGAGCTTGGACAGTTACTTCAGCCCTTCAGACTGTCCAAGGTCCTGAAAATATCTGGCACATTAAGGACCTTGGACAGTTCCTTCAACCCYTCACACTGTCCAAGGTCCTAAAACATTCCAGTGCTTTCAAACGCTTGGACAGTTCCTTCAGTCCTTCACACTGTCTAAGGTCCTGAAACATTCCAGTTCTTTCAGGACCTTGGACAGTTCCTTCAGTCCTTCACACTGTCCAAGTTCCTGATACATTCCAGCACTTTCAGGATCTTGGACAGTTTCTTCAGCCCTTCACACTGTCTAAAGTCCTGCAACATTCAAGCATTTTAAGGACCTTGGACAGTTCTTTCAGTCCTTCACACTGTCCAAGGTCCTGAAACATCCCAGTTCTTTCAGGGCCTTGGACAGTTCCTTCAGTCCTTCACACTGTCCAGGTCCTGAAACATTCCAGCACTTTCAGGACCTTAGACAGTTAATCAGTCCTTCACACTGTCCAAGGTCCTAAAACATTCCGGTACTTTCAATAACTTGGACAGTTACTTCAGTCCTTCACATTGTCCAAGGTGCTGAAACATTCCAGAATTTTCAAGACCTTGGACAGTTCCTTCAGTCCTTCACATTGTCTAAAGTCCTGAAACATTCCAGCACTTTCAGGA